GGGGATATGGGGCAGGGGGATTTGGGGGGATATGGGGCAGGGGGATTTGGGGGGATATGGGGCAGGGGGTTTTGGGGGGCTGTGGAGCAGGATATGGGGGGTACAGGAGCCGGGATTTTCCCGGGCTGCCACCCCCTGGGATTTTTCCCAGAGACCCTACAATAACACAGAGCGAGACCCCACAACGACCCTACAAAAACAACACCAGAGGACCCACAGCTGTTTCCCCTACAAAACCAACAGGGGTGGCGCGACCCCCTCCCCTTCAATCCCCCAAACCCAACCCGCCGCGACCCTACAACAACAACAACAACAAACAACCCCAAAACAACGACCCGCCGCCACCCTACAACAACAAAACCCGCACACCCCGGTCCTCCCCGCTTCCCCCGAACCCCCCCTGCGGGCACGGGGCGCCCCCTCCCCGTTCTCCCCGAGCTCGGGGGGCGGCTGCGGGCGCTGGCCCGGAGCCCCCCGGCCGCCCGGCGGGTCCCCCCGAGCGGGCGCTGCAGAACAAAGGAAGCAGCAGAGCAGCAGCAGCGGCAGCAAACGCGAGGCAGCTCCGCGGGTCCCCTCGGGGTACCGGCGACATCCCGAGCCTCCCACCGGGGTCCCCCCGCCGCCGGGAGAGCGCTCAGCCCCGCGCCGAGCCCCCCGCAGCCCCCCGAGCCCGAGGAGGGGGAGCAGGACCGTTTGTTTCCTATTTTTGTTTTTTTTTTGCCGGTAAACGCTCTTTTCTATCTAAATTTGGGGAGCGGGGAGCGGGGGAGGTGGAAAGTTGCCGGTGCGCGGCTGAAGTTGTGAAGTTTGTGCGAAGCCGCGCGGGTTTGAAGTGGGGGGGGAAAAGAAAAGGAAAATGGGGTTGGGAGAAATAAGGGGTGGGATTAAAAAAGGGGGAGGCAGCGCCCCGGTTTTGGGAGGGGGAGGCTCGGGGAAAAGAGGGGTGGGGAGACAGCGGGGCCGCCCCCCCCCCGGGCTGGAAGCGGCGTGGAAATTAAAAGTCGGGGTTGACTCGCGGCTCTGTCCCCGCAGAACCCCCGCGCTGTCCCCAGGGCGGGGGACACGGTGACCCCGGGATGTCCCTGTGGCCGGGCAGGGGGCTCCGCCAGCCCGGGCCAGCCGCCCCCCCGGCCGGGGGGAGCCCCCAAATCTAACGCTGTCCCCCCCCCGGGATGGAGATGGAGAGGCACGAGGGGATCCACAGGGAGGTGAGCGACCCCCCAGCTCCCCCAAACCCAGCCGTCCCCGCTCTGATCCCCACACCTCGGGGTGACCCCTTTGAGCGTCACCGCGACCTGGAGGGGGCTCGGAGGGGTGGGCAGGGAAAGCCCCTCCTCGGTTGGTGGATGGGTTTGTTTTTTTAAGGGTATTTCCGTGGGAAATGGGACTTTCTGCTGCCTTAAAGGCCGCCTCGACGCCTTAAACACCCCCCCAAAAAAATCCAGCTCGTCCCTGGGGCATCCCCCAAAACAGCGCCGCGGGACGGGCGGAACAAAACCCTCCTTTAAACCGAATTCCTTGGAATTTCTTGGCGTGAAAGAGCAAAACCCCGCACGAAAAACCCACCCGGGTGCCGTCCTGGGAGGGGTGGGGGTCGGTTCCCCCAGAAAGAAGGGGGTGGCGAGGAAGGGGAAGGCAGAGCCGTGCCCGAGGGGGGCATCTCGGAGCTGACAAGTTGCGGCATTCTCTTCACCCAAAAAAAAAATTCCAACGCCTTCCTTCCATCGGCACGGCTGGTTTTACCGGCCGGGGTGGTTGGAACCGGGATCTGGCATTTTGTGCCCACGCAAAATCCAGGGAAAAAAACGGGGGGGGCTGCTCCAAATGGGGGGGCTCCAATGTGGGAGGGAGAAAAATCTGCTCGGCGTCGAGTTTTGGTGTTTCCACCCCCCAAAAAAAAAATCCCCCATCGGCGCTGATTTGCCTTTTTTTTTTTTTGGTGGTGTCGGGGGTTGAGCGGCTGCCGCGCGCCTCTGGGTTGGATCCAGCGGGATTTTCCTTGGGATGGGATTTGGGATTTGGGATGGGATTTGGGATTTGGGATGGGATTTGGGATTTGGGGTGGGATTTGGGATTTGGGATGGGATGCTGGGGACGCTGGCACAGGTGGCTTGGCGAGGCAAGGCAAGGACTTTGCCCTTGGCAAAACGCCGGCGAAAACTGAAATCCGACGGCCAGGGGTTTGTCCCAGCGCTTTTCCAGGCAGGATATGAGGGGAAAAGATGATTCGTGAGGATTCTGCGGGGTGGGTTCCCCCGACCCGGGATGGTGCCGGTGAGCCGGGCCGGGCTCTGCCGCTGTTCCCACGGCCCCGCGGCTCTCCCGGGGAGCTTTGGCAGCCGCAGCCCCTTCCCAGCACCAGTTCCACCAGTTCCTCCGGCTCGGGCGGGCCGGGAGAGCCGGCTCTGCCCCGGCTGGAGCTCCTGCTGTCCCCCTGGGGCTGATTTCCTGCCGTGTCCCCACCCGGGAGGGCTTGGAGGAGGAGGAGGAGGATGAAGATCTCAGAGGTCAAGGTTTAGCTCTGCTCCCGTGGCGGGGCTCTGTCAGACACTTCCCAGGCGGCTCAGGGTGTCTTTCCCAATCATTTGCATAACTAATCAACGTCTCGGGAAGCCGCTCGTTAGCGCGGAACGCGCTCCGCACCGGGAGCCGCCGGTGTCCGCCCCGAGCGAGGGAAGGATGCTCAGAGCTGTCCCCCTCAGCTTTGGGAACAAACCCTAAAGAGACCCCACAAAAAACCCCATTCTCACCAGGAACGGGCCCAGACCCCACAAAAACCCCTTTCCCAGCAGGAACGGGCTCAGACCCCCACAAAAAACCCCATTCCCATCAGGAACAGACTCAGACCCCACAAAAAACCCCATTCCCAGCAGGAACGGGCTCAGACCCCACAAAAAACCCCATTCCCAGCAGGAACGGGCTCAGACCCCACGAAAAACCCCATTCCCAGCAGGAACGGGCTCAGACCCCACAAAAAACCCCATTCTCACCAGGAACGGGCTCAGACCCCACAAAAAACCCCATTCCCAGCAGGAACGGGCTCAGACCCCACAAAAAACCCCATTCCCAGCAGGAACGGGCCCAGCAGACCCCCAAAAACGCTTTTTTGGGTGGCGGGGATGGGACGTGGAGCAGCTCAAGGTGTCCCTGAGTGTCCCTGGGGAATTCCCGACGCTCGAAAATCCCAGTTCATCCTCAAAACGAGAGCCCCTAAGTGAATTTGGCAGCCAGGCTCGGGGCCGAGCGCTGGCGATTAGGGCTAATCTCATTTAAAGCATTACTAATAAAAGTTACTAAATTTGTCCATCTCCGAGGTTTTCCCTGGAGGGTTGAGGTGGGATTTTTTTTTTTAAATTATTTTATTTTTTTTTTTTTATTTTTTTTCTTCTTCCAGCGTGAAATCGCCCCAAAACGCGCCCGGCATCTCCAAAAAAATTAAAAGCAGGGGGATGATGGATGGGATGAAGGACAGGCCGGGGTTTGGCTCGGTCCCGTTCGTGCTGGTGGCACCTGCAGGATGTCACCAGGGTAATCCGGGGGGATTCCTCGTGCCTGGAAAATGGAAATATTCCCAGTTTTGGCTGCGATGTGAGCAGCTCAAAGGGCTCCGGAGTAAATCCGATGGATGCTGGAGAGGAGGAGGAGGACGGGAGGGAAGAGGAGGCTGGAGGAATCCAATCCCCGACGCTTTTTGCAGGGAATTCTCGCCTGGCAGAGCCGTGCCAGGCTGGAAATTCGGGGAAAAACCAATTCCCGGCCCGGCTGATCCTATTTATTCCCGTGGGAGTCGCGTTGCTCGGGTCCCGGCGGGCTCTTGGCTTTTTCGGGAAGGAAAAAAAAGGGAATATTGCTCCTGGGAATGCGGCAGGGATTGGGAATCTCGCGTCTGTGCTTGCTCTTCCACCTGGACCCGGCTTTGTCCAGCCCAGTGGGCATTTCACGGCTCCTCAGATCCCTTTGGAAAGCGGTTTTTTCCTGGGAGACCTTTGGGAATTTGGAGTTTGTTGCCGTTTTGCCGGTGATTTAGCTGAGAATGGGTTTGAGCTCTTTCCAGGAGAATCCAATCCGCACTCGGAGAAGTTTCGGGGCGGGGAATTCGCTTTCTTTGCTCCCCCTTTTTTTCTCCTTTCTCTCCCAAAAATCATTCCGTGCATCACTCATCTCCAACAGGGTTTGGAAAAACTGGAGCTGAATTCCACCAGGACTTTTTCAAGGATCCAGCCCCACTTTAACCCTTTCACCGTCCGATTCCCACGGGAAAACTCCCGCCTCCTCCCCTTTCTTCAGCGGATTTTGGGGAAGAAAGGGCAAATCGGACAACGCGCGTGTTGTTGGAGGAGGATTTAAATGTTATTTAAATGTTATTTAAATGCCTGATGTCCCCAAATTAATGAATCCGGGGCCCCAAATTAGCGATGACCCCA